TGTAAGTAGGTAGAATGCATGGCTGCTAGGGAAAGAAATCGCCCAAATTGTGAGTTCTAATATTTCTTCTTCTCAGGACGTAGGTGGTCATGTCTCTCCACAATTTCCTGTCCTTTGTAGCTCTTAATAAATTTATTTATTTATCCTAAATCCTATTCCGCTTACTTAAGCTCACTATGTTATTCGTTGTTTTCCTCTGTCCTCTTATCTTCAATCTGACCTGTGAGTATCAGATTTTACAAGCCCTCTTTCCTCATTATGTGCCCCAGAATTTTCGACTGTTTCTTCCTGATGTTTTTGTTTCCACTTTCTCTAAAATCTCGACTTTGATCACATGTTTGGTCCGTGGTATGTTCAACATCCTTCTGTAGAACCACATTTCTGTTGCCTCAGATGTTTTCCTCATCTTTGAGGAGGATCAAATTCAAGTATGTGCGGAAATTTAGCTATCTGTATAGTGGAGTAATAGACAACCGAAAATGGAGAACAGAAATTGGAAAGCGCATAGAAAAAATGAAAACTATTTTTCAGAAGCTAAGCAATGTATTAAGAATTAAAGCATTGGAACAATTCTGGACTCTGTTATTTATTATCCTATCTTCTATATGGCAGTGAATGCCAGACAATCTCCTCACAGGTGAGGTAAATACATGAAGTGATAGAATGCTGAGAATAACATAGAGGGGACGTGAGAAACAAGGAAGTTCTAAGGAGAATAAGGAATACAAATTACTGTTAACAATCACAAGGCATTTTGAAAAGAAGAAGAGTCAGATGAAAACAGCGAATAATCAGCTTGATGAATTTGAATACAGAATAAGGATTGCAAAGAAAAAGTATGAAACTTTATTACGTTTTTGTCTCTTGCTTCATACAATAATATTTGGTAAGAGTGTTTTTTTTGTATGAATTTCTGTGATAACGAGTTATCATTATTAATTTATTTCAAATTATTATATTATCATTATTACACATGTGGACAATTGTTAGCATCTTTGTTGCTGTTATTAGATGTATGTCGATACGGATAACCTACAGAGAATTCCCAATTATACCCTTTATTTAATCTACGGGGGTGTGTGGGGGGTAAACTGTTCTCATTCTACTGCCAGAGATTTCCACAGAATCCAAGTACACACTACACGACCCAAGGATTGAACTCACAATTACTATGTTACCAAATTTACGATCTCGCGTTTTAATCTACTAGGCTATTGCCCCGAGCAAATATTGTAAATAACAAATTTTTTCTTGTATTATTATTTCATTGTTTTGTTTGCTGTATTTTGTTTTATAGAAATATCCCAGGATGACTCAATAACTGCAAAGAAATAGGAAAGAGAAGAGAACAAAAAACATTGGCACAATAATAAGAACAAACGATATAATACTCATGGGGATTCAACAGTATATCTTTGTAGTTTAGGCATAAGAAACGATTTTAATATCATAAATATGCAGATTATTTATTTTTTTAAATGGTTTATTTTACATAAAATGCGGCTCAGTTGTTTGTTGTCTTTTTATAATTGTTTAACTCTGATAAAAGTTAAATGAGCAAATCCCGAATTAGGTTTAATCAAATCAAAATAGATCACTTTGATTAAATAAAAATAAAATGGTGATGTAAAGAGGAAACCGGAATTTAATTAATAGACAAAAGTTTAATCACGTACGATCAGCGTTTACTAACCACACGTCGAAATGGAATAAGAGATCATCATTCTGAGGCGGAAGCTTTCCTTCACACACACACATTCTCTCTCTTTCAGGTAGCCAGTAAGTAATAATTCATTAATTACTTGCTCCAGGCTCCCGTCTATGTCTGTCTGGTATTTAATGATTTTACTGACAGACGGCTAAAGTAAAAAGGGTTTGATTTTTTGTTCTTTTTCTCCCCAGCAGTTAGCATTCTAAATCAAAGTTTTTGTCATTAACTGCTTGATATGGCCGCTCCTTATTCAAGGTAGTAATTAAACTTTCAAATATTTTCCATTATGAAATAACGCCAATCACGAATTCAAAATCAATCTTATCTTATTTAAGAGATGACAAACGCCTCTTCTTAATGAAATATCCGTTTTCAACCGCCCTTCCATAATTCACTATGTCCTGTAGTTTTTACAGATAAATGATTAGTTGTTAAGATAAGTCACCTTTACCTTTTAACAGATTGTTGTCCTTGAATATAAATGAAATTTCATAAACAATAATTTTTCTTTTGTATGTGTTACTACAATAAAGCAAAATATATATTTCCCTTGGCACGTTTTCGTGTCTACTCGATTTACTTTTATTTCCGATTGTCTTTGTTTGACTATCTATTGATTGTCCATTTCTGTTGGCTACTTTCCACTTCCAACAGCATTTGTATACCTTGAAGGAAACTCCCAAAAGCAACACCCTATCATTGCGAACCAAAATCTAGCATAAACAGAATTAAAATGAAAGCAGATAAAATATGGCATACTTTCGTGCTTCATGAACATAAATCCAACATATTTCGCGTTTCCAATCTGGCCTTGATTTCTGATTTCTCTCCCTTCAGATAAAACGTGCATGCGTCAACATTATTCCCCTAAACACACAATTTATGACCGAAGCCAAACAGATTAATATGATTGTGATGTAAAAGAAAATAAACCGCTTATAGTAGAACTGGGATCCATTATTAGGATTTTTTTTTCTTAAAAGTCACGATGCAATGTCACGATGCAATGCCATTTTATTGAATTATTTTTCATATAGTAGCAATACCAAGAAAAGTTTAAAATCAAACATTTTTCTGTCTGCCTTTTATATGTGCTGATCAAGTAAAATTTTTAAAATATATTTTTCCTAGTTTCGGATTTACATTTAAAATTTGACCTTTTTAATGAGAATCCCCTGCCTTTTTCACATTGACCTGTAAGAAATTAAAGTATATGCTTAAAATAGTCTGACAAATTATATGAAATAATTCTTAGAAAATTCTTATACTACTGTGCCAGATTAACAGGTAATACAATTCTGGGTTTAGTGCTACATCGATTCATCATTTTTGATGATCATAAATAATTATCAGATAAATGCATATCTCCGATAACCTATTTGAGATTCGTGATAGACAGACGCCCCTTTGGTAACCAGCAGGAAAGACCAGTTCGTTGTTCTTTTGTTTTCTTTTATAACTGGTATCCTCTTGGTAGGAAAGTGCGACACTTGCATCCTAACAAAGTGGGATACATGTCAAAAAGCTTCTTCTTCTTCATTGCTATTTTAAAATTAACCCATCTTAAAACATGCTAAACGTTGTAACATGAAAGGAACATTTTCTGTAACAAACCAGAGATTTTCAAATCAAATAAACATTTTGAAGACATTGGTTTTCGAACTTAAAATTTATGCTAAGAAATTAACAAGAGTAAAATATGAAGAATTGAATTGCGTATATTAGCAGAAATTATATACAGAGAAACAAAAATAACCCCGAAACTGGATCATAGACTCTGAAAATTCGACTGAGAAAGAAAGGAACGAAATCAATAAAATGAAAATAAAAATTCCATTATTATGTGAAAAAAAAACCCATTAAAATCTTAAACTATTACAGTACTTAAAACTGATAACATAACAAGAGTAGTTAGTGAAAAACTTTTCTTCACACACGTACATACAGAGCAACCCAAGACATATCAAACAAGGAGATGAGATTAAATTAATCAAAGTTATGTAGAAAAGCTGAATTATTAAAGATGAGAATAATGAAACTGTAAAATCCATTTATGTAAGGAGACGGCAAAAACGTTAGAAAAAGCAGCTGTAATAGAAAAATTTAGTTAAAAGATTATCTAAATAAGTTAGGTTTTAAAATACATTAGATCCTCAGTAATATAGATAAAACAGAATGTTCCAAAATAACGAACGTTACTTTTATAGACAGATAAATAATAACGAAAAACTGGAGAATCGGATGCAACAAAATAGAAACACGTATGAAGCAGTTTATAGAAATGAATGCAGTAAGAGAATAACAATAGCAGAGTGGTTGATCAATTTGAAATTACAGTGGAACAAAACAGAAAAGGAATTTAAAATAATGACATATAGTATTGTAAAGTATTAGAAACTGGAAGATACTAGGTCAGGAGCGAATTTTAGTTCAAGAGAATCGCATTTATAAACAAAAAAGAAAAGTAGCTTAACAGTTACACAACAACCTTATTTACGCAATTCTCGTGTGGATGACAAGAGAAAAGGCGACATTGATTATAAAAAAGAAAGAAAGAAAAATCTCACAAGTCAGCTTGATGAGGATATACTACTCACTGGAAATCCGAGTCTTTTAAGCAAAGAGTAGAAATTCTGTAAGAAATTAAATAAAGGAATAAGTTCTGACACCAATGGCTTTTTTTTTCTGGTTTTCTCTTGGAAACCTCCAGGAAGTTGTCTGAAAGAAATAAAAATAAGTAAAAAGAACAAAACTATTGCATGGGTAGACAACAAAAAGGTTAACAAGATTCTAAAAAAAGAACAAATTGGACATTAGACAGCCTATATTAAAATGCCCAAATGTATAATAAATACAATGGAAAGTTGGAGAATGATACTTGAAGGAGGAGGCGGAGAACCTGTAGCAGATGCCAACGTAAGAAGAGGTATTTTTCTATGGGAATTCCTACATTTCTGACGTTTTATCGTAGCTATAATGTCACTTTATTGCATTTTTTGAATTGAGATGGACACTGTAAAGTTGCAGGAAAAACACAATCACTTAACGTAATGACTTGAATTTTTTGACAAAAAGAAAAAGATTGTAAACATTGCTACAAGTATTCAAGACATGGAAATGGACTTATAGATCAGGAAATGGACTTATAGATCAGGAAATGGACATCACGCGTGATGAAAAAAGAGAAAGAGAAATAAGAAATTAAAGAACACTGAAATTATCAGCACAATAAATGAACAAGAGAACATGAATCTAGTAATAATGTTAGGCGGTGCTCCACTTATTATGAATGAAAGGAAAACGTCAAAAGAATACGTCAGAGGAACAAGGAAATATTGGAAACTATACGATATTTGCATCTCTCTCTCTCTCTCTCTCTCTTTCTCTCTCTCCGTGCACGACTTCATATTTATGTAGGAATTTGGTTTAGTTTGATTTATTTTAATGGATTAATCCAGGTAATTCAATTGTCTTGATAAATAATTGATAGGTAGACATGGCTTATATATATATATATATATATATATATATATATATATATATATATATAATTTTTTAAAATGGGGATTATGCTATTACTGATTAAAACCAAAAATACAATTACATCTAAGATGCAAAAAACTTACGGTGCCTTTCGACCGGCGCTTCGTTAGTAGAAAAATCGTCGGAAATAAAATTAAACTAAAAGTAAATTTTCGTTGGTTTCAATCTTTAATAGTAACACAAAAGCTGTGATATTTCTAAATGTTCTAACTTTATTTCTTGAAAAAGATCCAAAGATGTTCAACATTACTCCGAACATAAACTGGACAAGTTTCTTTACAAGTTTCACCAAAAGTTATAATTGACATTTAACATAAATTTTGAAATGTTTAAATGTGTGAATGTGAATGTTCTTGATCAAAGCATATTTAAATGTACACATAGATATTATTAATATACATATTTTTCTCGAATAAAGATATCGTATAGTTTTAAATGTAAGCATATTGCAGTCACTTTGCACATTTGATGTAGTGAATCGCATTTATACGAATTATAATTTTTTAATAGCTCAAAATGAAATCTAGAACGGGTGAAAATGTAAGATTTGAACAACGTATGTTCATAGCACTTATGGAGCGTCTTTCGAAGTAAAACTTCCATGATAATTTTGAAGATTGGGGTAGTAAATAATGAGTGAAAAAGAAGAGGATAACGAAAAGAAAATGAAAGAAAAGAGATAAAGAAAGAAAGATTAAACAAGCGACAAGCAAGTGAATGTAAGTGGTGAAAGAAGAAAATATATGAATTATATGAATGACAGATCTAAACGGTATACGAGGTATTTTGAAAACAAATATTGATATTTGTTTTGATAACAACAATATTGGCTAAATCGAGAAATCGTAATAATAAAAATGAGAATAAAGGAAAACTCGAAATGAAAAGCAGGAACATGATTTAAAACTTAGATAAAATTTGTTTAAAACGATTTTGTTTTATTTTAAATGTATGTTTACTAACATTGTTTGAATTAGGTAGGAGACCTTTTATTTGTTTAGTCACCTAACCGACATAGTAATTTCGCGAAGATAATTTTCACATACTGATTCAATGGACAAGTGGACACTCTATAGCACTAATTCTTATTTTAAATAAGTAGAAGAATGACGATGACGACGACGAGGAGGAGTGTACTACAGTTGAACTCTTGACGTAGCGAGATTAGAACACTCTCGTAGAAACTGAGAAGTAAACAAGAGAAGAAATAACATGGCGGACTTATCTGCGCACGTATCTATATTATACGGTAAATAAAGTCTCTGGTTAACTGTAAACCTGGCGTTGTTCATTACAACGATGTATAATGTATGTAATTTAATATTAACAAGTAACGGTTGAAATATTCCGGATGTTTGCTTACGTTTATGTTCTTTGCAATCCTTTTTCTATCGCTGTGTTGTCTAACTGGCCAAAGTTTAATATATTCAGGAACTTGGAGAGATTGCCAACATTTTCGTGTGGCCGGGTGTATAAAGATTTTTCTAATGGAGCAATTGGGAATGAATGTGTTGTGAGAGAGATAAGTTTAAATTAAATAGACATACAACTGAGAGCTTATGAACAAAAGATAGATTCTAGAATTAAAATTAATTTCTACTTTTAACACATTGATGAGTTGGCTTACCTGACCGTGAAGCATTGTTAAGCGAGAAATTGTAGCACGTTTGATCGTTCCCAGTATCTCCTATATACATCAGAAATCTTATAGGTTTTACGACTATTGATGATATAAAAAGGTATAGCAGCGGTTTATCTATTGTGTGTTGGTTATTTTTATATATTCATTTTTTTTAAATCGATTTCGCCCCAAGGAAGGCAGTAAAACCACTGAGACATAAGGAGTTACTGGGCGTGGAAGAGTTACAATCAGAAACATTGCTAAGAAACGAGAATAGAAGAAGAGTAATCAGGATAATGATTAAGATTGCATTTAAATTTTCGCAAATTAAATTTGGCTGGAAAGCATGGAGCTAAAAGAGAGTTCTACAAGCAGGAAGTGCGAGAAAAGTAACTGTTAGCATAGAATTTACGTTTACATCTATCCAACCCAACTGTAAATTGGTGAAACTCCGTTGCAAGTCTAATACTACGTTTAAATTCAGAGTTTCAGTACCATAGCGAAGAGCTCATCTGAATAATTCCCATGAAAGTATTTAGAGAAAAGGCACAAGGAGGCAACCTTACGGCGGTGAGAAAGTGACTGAAACCGAGACGCCAGAACAGGGACAATAATATTGTTAACTCTTCTTTAGATTTTATTAGGGAGCTCTCGATAAATACCAAGAGCACCGGACCATATGTGGCAGCAATATTCTAAGCATGAACGAATGGTAGCTTTATAGTTATGTTAAATAAATTCTAAGTATTTTCTCTGTAATCAGCCGTGCTCATTTTGTTTTTTAATTTTTTTTTAATTAAGAGTATTTTTTAAATAAAAATTATGACCTGTTTTATTTCTTTGTTAGAAAAGTGTTTAATGGGTTATCTCGACGAAGATCTATTTTGCGTTCATAAATCCTTAGATTTCTAGATGTCTCACCTATATATTTATTAGGAAGCTGGGATATATAAGAAGATGTCTCACCTATATAAGAAAATGTCTCACCTATATATTTATTAGGAAGCTGGGATATATAAGATAAAATGTATGCAATACCAATTGCATACATTTTATCTTATATCCCAGCTTCCTAAGTGCTGTTGATTTGTTTATTTATTTTTTTTGCTGATCAAATTTTGTCTTGAAATAGTTATCTGGGATAGTCAAATGTTTTTGACTGCAGTCGATAAAGAGTTAGTTGTCAGAATTATATTATACCGATATATATATATATATATATATATATATATATATATATATATATATATATATATATATATATATATATATATCTCATAGAAGATTATTAACAGCCAAGCCAGAATCAAGCATAGCAAAGTATATGCGTTGAAATATTTAACGTTTGCATAAAAATTAGCCTTGAGGTAAGCAGAATCTTAATCATACTCGGAAAATGATTGACACTAAGAAAATCTCCACCTATATATGCATATATGTATATTAGAGAAATTTCAACCCTTTTGTGAAGTGATAAACATTTTTATAATAGATGAAAGGGGTTATTTGACCCAAATAACATCAAAACATGAAAGAAAAGAGATAGTTTTGAAAAATATGGCACATTACCGGGGGCCAAGAATAATTTTTAGTAACGCATGTCCTCAATAGAAAAGCAGATAAAAATCAAGATAGTAAACTGAATTGCCAATAAATTTCAAAAGACAGTGCACTGAATGCTTTCTCAAAACCTACTTCTAAAAATGAACCCAGTAAGATGATATATGTATTACGTAATAGGTAAAGAAGTAGTGTAGCTGTAGAAAACACTGGGTGTATATAGAATTTAACGCCGTTTAGCCGCGGAATGATGGGGTAGTCTATCCCCGACATGGTTACTAGCAAAACTATACTAAGAATATATAAATCCTAGACAGATATTAGCTGAATGTAAAAAATACAGTCGCCCACAGGTGAAATATGAATGGGACCACAGAAAACGAACAAAGATGCTAACCACTCAACAAAGTAAACCGGTAGATATCATTCCAATTCAATTAGTCAAGGTATTGTATCGCATTACATAAGGTTTCATAGTTGTCAACCAACTAGATTATCATTATTAACTGCAGCATCGTTACAGCGCATCCCTTGACTCAGAGAACATTGTCTTTAGACCGTGGAAAACTAGCACCATGTCAATCTGTCAGTCAAATCAGATTTCCAGCTCTTTTCGACATATATTCAAGTTTATATGCGGAGGATACCACATGATGTTATGAATCCAGCCTTTTTAAAAATCATTTCACCCCAAGCAAGTCAAAGCCAAAAGGATTTACCGAGAATAGGAGAAAATGAGAAAACGTCAGTGAGGAGAAAGGACAATAAAAGAACAGGATTCACTAGTAAGATGGCGTTTAAAGTTGCATTTATATTCTTGGAGATCGTAGTTGACAAGAAAACCGGAAAGCAGAAGAGAGTTCTAAGGCGAAAAGTGCGAAACTATTAAAATAGAACTTGCGGTTACATCTGGCAATTTCAACACTAAAATGATGAGTCCTAGCTGTTTACTCTAGTACTAGACTTAAATTCATGAAGTCGAAATGCCAAAAATGAAAACTCCTCAAAACAATTGCCGTGAAAATTCTTATAGAAAAGGTACAAGGAATCTATGTTACGGCGGTGGGAAAAGTGACTGAAAGAAATATACAACATCAGGACCGATAACATTGCAGATTCTTTGAATTTTGCAATAAATTCTCTATATATATAACAGGAGCATCACAGCGGATGTGACAGTAATATTTAATGCAGGGCCAAATGGTAGACTTATAAATGTGCATGATAGATTCTGGTGAGAAAATTATCTGTCACTATAACTAACAGGCCTAGCAATTGATTCAATATAATTGTTTAACTTTATGTCTAGAATTGTTTAACTTCGAGATAACTAAAGCTACAGCCCGAACTTTGCCATTTTTATCTAAAGCTTGACAATCTCTTTCAGTAATAACTGTTAACACATTATAAATTAACCTAGAGAAGCAAAAGACATATTGTTTTTTTTCTGAAAGAAGACACTGTGAGCTGAGATGTTTAACAATAGCATAGTTGATTGGAGCGTCTACTAATTTACCAAAAAGAGGTAGAAGGCTTATAGGTCGATAGTTCGAAGGGTCAGACAGTTTCAGCGGAGTTATTAAAACCAAGAACCACAAAAGAGTATTTCCAAGAAGGTGAAAAAAGGAAGAAGCAGTAATGTATTTGTTGTAGCGTTTAAGGGGAACAGGTGCCTAGTTCAGGAGCAGA